AAAGAAACTCTGCCCATTGTTTCTCGTCGGCGCCTGGGATCGAACCCAGGACTACAGGATCACAAGTCCAGCGTGCTGTCCGCTCGGCCGACCGGTTCCAAGCCCCAATGGCTTGTAAACATTGGGGGTCTGCATGTATGGGGTCTGTACGAATCACTAACGAAATTTGTCTGGCCGATTGATGGGTGTATAGGGAAATTTGTTAGGTAGTTGGGGTTGGTTCATTTCTCACACTTCATTGACCCGGGCACTGCCGGGGACATCATCTAGTATTTGTATAAATATCTAATCGTCTTTAGGACTTTTTTAATTTCCAAACTAAAAACTCTGTTCATATATTGTATTTATGCTGCTTGAATACCATTGAGTAGAGGGATTCAAGCAATTGAATGCAATGACAAAAAAATCATTGTTGTCAATTTATTTTGCCTTTAAGATCCGCACAAAGCTACGAAAGAGAGATTCGATCTCTTATACACATGATTGTTCTTAGGAACATGATCTCGCAAGAGGAAAAATGGTTCAGTGTAGTTAACTGTATAGAAAACAAACCTTTCGCATGCTCTCACCCGCCTTTTGTACACTCTTGTTATCTTTCGCATGCTCTCACCCGCCTTTTGTACACTCTTGTTATCTTTCGCATGCTCTCACCCGCCTTTTGTACACTCTTGTTATCTTTTGCATGCTCTCATCCTCTTTTCATATGCTCTTGCTACGTTTCGCATGCTTTCACCCACTTATTGTACGCTCTCATTCGCCTTTTCTATGCCTGTCCTCGCAAGTCCTCCACAACTGATTCGCCCACCTTTCCCACACTCACTAGTCCTCCCACACTCTCACCAGACCGCCCACGCTCTCATCTCTCCTCCCACGCTCTCGTCTCTCCTCCCACGCTCTCGTCTCTCCTCCCACACTCTCACCAGACCGCCCACGCTCTCATCTCTCCTCCCACGCTCTCGTCTCTCCTCCCACGCTCTCGTCTCTCCTCCCACACTCTCACCAGACCGCCCACGCTCTCATCTCTCCTCCCACGCTCTCGTCTCTCCTCCCACGCTCTCGTCTCTCCTCCCACACTCTCACCAGACCGCCCACGCTCTCATCTCTCCTCCCACGCTCTCGTCTCTCCTCCCACGCTCTCGTCTCTCCTCCCACACACTCACCAGACCGCCCACGCTCTCGTCTCTCCTCCCACACACTCACCAGTCCGCCCACGCTCTCATCTGTCCTTCCACCTCCCAAAGTCGACTGAGACACTGACGATGACGACTGGGCTCTCTCGTGTTTGCCAATGTTTTATGGGATCGTGTTTCAGACCAACCAGACATGGAGAGTTATTCAAGTGTTTCTCTTATTATTGCTCTTATTGGTTTCACCATTATTGTTTACTATTATTATTATTATTATTATTATTATTATTATTATTATTATTATTATTATTATTATTATTATTATTATTTTCTTCCATTATTATTTTGATGCTTATGAAGAGGGGTTTGGAGGAGAAAAGATTAGGATATTTGAGGATCGTCGAGTGACAAGAATATGAACTACACAGCATGTTTAGGCAGTTCAGTAATATGACATTGTACTTCTATATTGTGACAATAGTTTTCAAGATCAATTAATGGGCTTAACAGTGTATGGCGGGCATCAACTGGAGTATAGTTTCTTTTACTTTTGCTGTTCGTTAATTACCCTGAGTGTGGAGGGGGGGGGGTTACTTTGTGATAGTTCAGAGGCTCAATGTCCCCGCAGCATGGTCTCTGACCAGGGCTTCTGATTGGTGATCTTGTCAAAGTGAATGTTGCATGTGACTGCTCGCTGCTTAATTAACATGTCGACACATCGCTGTATTTGGTCAACACTTCACTATAGGTCTAACAATTCACTGTGGGGGGTTAACACATCACTGTGAATATGGGAGTCGACATATTTCCTGTGAATATGGTAGGGGGTGTTTTGTATACCCCTGTGAGTATGGTAGCTGATACATTAATGTGAGTTTGGGTTTCGATACATCAATGTGAGTTTGGGTTTCGATACATCACTGTGAGTTTGGGTTTCGATACATCACTGTGAGTTTGGGTTTCGATACATCACTGTGAGTTTGGGTTTCGGTACATCACTGTGAGTTTGGGTTTCGATACATCACTGTGAGTTTGGGTTTGGATACATCACTGTGAGTTTGGGTTTCGATACATCACTGTGAGTTTGGGTTTGGATACATCACTGTGAGTTTGGGTTTCGGTACATCACTGTGAGTTTGGGTTTCGATACATCACTGTGAGTTTGGGTTTCGATACATCACTGTGAGTTTGGGTTTCGATACATCAATGTGAGTTTGGGTTTCGATACATCACTGTGAGGGATTTACACGTCCCTGTGAGTTCAGGGTCGACAAAGTTTTCTGCAGCCACATTACATTTGGGGGCCTGTCCGGGATCACGTTTCAAATCCTAAGTATTTTTTCTCAGATTGTTTATCCCGGACATTTCATAATAGTCTACATTTTGCATTTATTTTTAACTATATAAATTAATAACTGAATAGTATTAGGGTTGAATAGAAATATTCTAAGGATTTGTGATACTTCTTAAAAATAAAATCACTATTTGGGTGAGACAGTTGCTGTAGTATTTTTATGTCCCTTGGGGGGGTGAGAGGCAGGCATACTTTTGGACCCTCGGGCCCTCATGTTTGCATTTGGTGCTGAGTTACTGGTTTGTGAGGGAACAACAGCCATAACTCCTCACAGAGGTGAGGAGAGGGAGGTGATAAATTATAAGTGGCAAATACAGTATGTGAAGGGAAAGTGGAGAGCTGATGTATAGGTTGAGGAAGCCTGTAATACGGAGGAAGGAGGGATGATAGGAATCTAACACACAGTGTGGAGGTTAGGTGGGAACTTAGCATAAAGCATAAAGGGAGCCGTCGGCCGAACGGACAGCACGCTGGACTTGTGATCCTGTGGTCCTGGGTTCGATCCCAGGCGCCGGCGAGAAACAATGGGCAGAGTTTCTTTCACCCTATGCTCCTGTTACCTAGCAGTAAAATAGGTACCTGGGTGTTAGTCAGCTGTCACGGGCTGCTTCCTGGGGGTGGAGGCCTGGTCGAGGACCGGGCCGCGGGGACACTAAAGCCCCGAAATCATCTCAAGATAACCATGTAGAACCAAACATTGAGTGTGGTGGGGCTGAAAGGTTTGAAATGCACCACTGTAGAAGTTGATGCAGTAAAGTAAGAAAGAACACAGCTAATTATGATTATTCAACAGGGTTGATAATGTTTTTAATAGTAATAATAACAACAGTAATTAAAATACAAATTTAAAGTTAGAATTAAATGCTTTCATTTACATAACAATTAATTGGTATTAATATACAAGTGTCAATAGCATATATCTTCCATTCTTCAACAAAATATTATTCGTTGTATATACTTTATAATTTGTATTTGGAATTGGGCGTGTAAATAGTAATATGGGGGATAGAGGTGCAAATTGGCAGGAGGGATGAGTACAAATTATGACACCCAAGTTATTGAGTTCATTTACCGAGAGTGGAAGATGTGTGTGTGTGTGGGGGGGGGGGCGGGTTCTGGGTTTCTAGGTGTGGTTGGAAATGTGTGTGTGGGTGTATGTTTGTGTATGTGTTCGTGTTTGTGTGCGCATATGTGAGGGCGTGTTGAGTGGTGTTACACTACACACTATGTGTCTTTTGACTGGTGTTTGTATGGGGAGGGGGGGGGGGGTAGGGTGAGAGGGGTGTGGATTAAAGGCCTGTGATGTTGACTTGTTCTGTTATTCTGTCGTCTCTGTTATTCTCTTTTTATCACTTCCCTTCTTTATGATTTGTTTTCTTTCACTGATTGTTTATGCTCTAAACAATTATATAACGAGGGAGAGAAGAAAACCTATTTAAAGTATATAATTAAGACGATCGCTGAAACTAGGAACAGAAAATATAACCAATAAATTGTTTTTTGAAATAAATAAACTCCCGTCAGTTCTGATTAGATATAACCATTGGTTACAAGTGTCATCTTCGTTGCCAATATATCAAAATACATAAGAAGCCAAGATCAGAGAGATTTTTCTCTCAAATAAGCAGGAGTGTCACAATCACAATCGACTTGAGAATGGTCCAGGACGGACCGAAACGTCGTCGTCTCTTCAATTTCTAGTGTGTGGTCTGGTCAACATTTTTCTCTCAAGTTGATCAGTTGTCAGTATTAGGGAAATCATTTTGGGCAGTGTTGATAGTTAATATGCTTGGTATGAAGATGTTTGTGTTCATGTGAATGACTGAAGCTGCCTTTCAGATAGCTTCTGCTTTCATGCCAATCGATTTTATTTTTCGTACACGCGAACTAAGAGTTTGTTCGTGCACGCGAAGTTTGTTTGTATACGCGAACCGATAGTTTGTTCGCCTACACGAACTGCAATAAAATATGATAAATTTAGTACATGTGCAGATCACTAAATTCTAGCTATCTTCTGCCTATCCCCTGGCCTCATTCGTTCGTTCGCCTGCTTCCTCAGGTGGGCTTAAACTGCGTTGAGGTATGTGTGGAGGGGGTGTCACGTCACTGTCTCCCATGGTGGAGGGTGTCACGTCACTGTCTCCCATGGTGGAGGGTGTCACGTCACTGTCTCCCATGGTGGAGGGTGTCACGTCACTGTCTCCCATGGTGGAGGGTGTCACGTCACTGTCTCCCATGGTGGAGGGTGTCTCGTCACTGTCTCCCATGGTGGAGGGTGTCACGTCACTGTCTCCCATGGTGGAGGGGTGTCACGTCACTGTCTCCCATGGTGGAGGGTGTCACGTCACTGTCTCCCATGGTGGAGGGTGTCACGTCACTGTCTCCCATGGTGGAGGGTGTCACGTCACTATCTCCCATGGTGGAGAGTGTCACATCACTGTCTCCCATGGTGGAGGGTGTCACGTCACTATCTCCCATGGTGGAGGGTGTCACATCACTGTCTCCCATGGTGGAGGGTGTCACGTCACTGTCTCCCATGGTGGAGGGTGTGTCACATCACTGTCTCCCATGGTGGAGGGTGTCACGTCACTGTCTCCCATGGTGGAGGGTGTCACGTCACTGTCTCCCATGGTGGAGGGTGTCACGTCACTGTCTCCCATGGTGGAGGGTGTCACGTCACTGTCTCCCATGGTGGAGGGTGTCACGTCACTGTCTCCCATGGTGGAGGGTGTCACGTCACTGTCTCCCATGGTGGAGGGTGTCACGTCACTGTCTCCCATGGTGGAGGGTGTCACGTCACTGTCTCCCATGGTGGAGGGTGTCACGTCACTGTCTCCCATGGTAGAGGGTGTCACGTCACTGTCTCCCATGGTGGAGGGTGTCACGTCACTGTCTCCCATGGTGGAGGGTGTCACGTCACTGTCTCCCATGGTGGAGGGTGTCACGTCACTATCTCCCATGGTGGAGAGTGTCACATCACTGTCTCCCATGGTGGAGGGTGTCACGTCACTATCTCCCATGGTGGAGGGTGTCACATCACTGTCTCCCATGGTGGAGGGTGTCACGTCACTGTCTCCCATGGTGGAGGGTGTGTCACATCACTGTCTCCCATGGTGGAGGGTGTCACGTCACTGTCTCCCATGGTGGAGGGGTGTCACGTCACTCTCCCATGGTGGAGGGTGGAGGGTCACTATCTCCCATAGTGGAAGGTGTCAGGTCAATGTCTCATGGTGGAGGGTGTCAGGTCCCTATCACACATGGTGGAGGGTGTCAAGTCTCCCATGGTGGAGGGTGTCAGGTCCCTATCACACATGGTGGAGGGTGTCAAGTCTCCCATGGTGGAGGGTGTCAGGTCCCTATCACACATGGTGGAGGGTGTCAAGTCTCCCATGGTGGAGGGTGTCAGGTCTCCCATGGTGGAGGGTGTCAGGTCTCCCATGGTGGAAGGTGTCAGGTCACAATCTCCCATGGTGGAGGGTGTCAGGTCTCCCATGGTGGAAGGTGTCAGGTCACAATCTCCCATGGTGGAGGGTGTCAGGTCTCCCATGGTGGAGGGTGACAGGTCTCCCATGGTGGAGGGTGTCAGGTCTCCCATGGTGGAGGGTGACAGGTCTCCCATGGTGGAGGGTGTCAGGTCTCCCATGGTGGAGTGGTGACAGGTCTCCCATGGTGGAGTGGTGACAGGTCTCCCATGGTGGAGGGTGTCAGGTCTCCTATGGTGGAGGGTGTCAGGTCTCCCATGGTGGAGGGTGTCAGGTCTCCCATGGTGGAGGGTGCCAGGTCTCCCATGGTGGAGGGTGTCAGATCTCCCATGGTGGAAGGTGTCAGGTCACTATCCCATGGTGGAGGGTGTCAGGTCTCTTATGGTAGAGGGTGTCAGGTCTCCCATGGTGGAGGGTGACAGGTCTCCCATGGTGGAGGGTGACAGGTCTCCCATGGTGGAGGGTGTCAGGTCTCCCATGGTGGAGGGTGTCAGGTCTCCCATGGGGAGGGTGACAGGTCTCCCATGGTGACAGGTCTCCCATGGTGGAGGGTGACAGGTCTCCCATGGTGGAGGGTGTCAGGTCTCCATGGTGGAGGGTGTCAGGTCTCCATGGTGGAGGGTGTCAGGTCTCCCATGGTGGAGGGTGTCAGGTCTCCCATGGTGGAGGGTGTCAGGTCTCCCATGGTGGAGGGTGCCAGGTCTCCCATGGTGGAGGGTGTCAGATCTCCCATGGTGGAAGGTGTCAGGTCACTATCCCATGGTGGAGGGTGTCAGGTCTCTTATGGTAGAGGGTGTCAGGTCTCCCATGGTGGAGGGTGACAGGTCTCCCATGGTGGAGGGTGTCAGGTCTCCCATGGTGGAGGGTGTCAGGTCTCCCATGGTGGAGGGTGTCAGGTCTCCCATGGGGAGGGTGACAGGTCTCCCATGGTGGAGGGTGACAGGTCTCCCATGGTGGAGGGTGTCAGGTCTCCCATGGTGGAGGGTGTCAGGTCTCCCATGGTGGAGGGTGTCAGGTCTCCCATGGTGGAGGGTGTCAGGTCTCCCATGGTGGAGGGTGTCAGGTCTCCCATGGTGGAGGGTGTCAGGTCTCCCATGGTGGAGGGTGTCAGGTCTCCTATGGTGGAGGGTGTCAGGTCTCCCATGGTGGAGGGTGTCAGGCCACTATCTCCCATGGTGGAGGGTGTCAAGTCACTATCACCCATAGTGAAGGGTGTCAGGTCTCCCATGGTGGAGGTCCTGGCTCCTCACTACTCGCGCACTGATATTTGGTAAACGGTCTTCGATTTGTGTCTCACGACGTTACTTTGTGTGGGTCCTTAAAGGTGGTGGAGTGTTCTTGTATATCTTTTAAGGAGGTGGACAGTTTTGTTTGGGAGAGAATAAATCGCACTGACGTGTCTGAAACATTAACCCATTATTTGTTAGTGGCGGTGGACGGATTTTTTACATTTTTAAGCGATAGATGGATCTTTTAAAGCTTTTTATTTTATTTGTGGACGAGTTTGCAGGTTTGTATTGTCTGTGCGAGTCTTCTGCAGATTACAAAATTGTCTATTTCTTTATCTTTGATGAATGTTAATGGCTCTCTAGCAGTTCTCTCGCAAAAAGAAAGTTGTCGTAGGCGCGATGTATAAGAATTTGAGGCAGGAGGACGATATAACTGATATATAATGATATATATGTATATATATATATCAGGGGATTAATCTTTGTGTTTAGATAGGAGATGCCTCGTATGGGCCAATAAGCCTTCTGCAGCCCCTATGTTTATCCCTTATGTATCCCCCCATGTTTTCACCTTCATTGTATTATCACCTGACCTAATGCGGGTATAAAATCAACTAGTATTGTAAGACCTGTTCACTTGAGAATGAACCATGGAGGTTCGAAACGTCGTGCAAATTATACAAATAAGTGTAATACACTCTATAGTAAATCACTTCTTTTCTTCACCTTAAAAGTACGAAAATGAGTTTTGGAGAACTCCTATTTCAATTAAGCCCTGATGCTAAGAAAATAGTTAGAGGGATAGAAGCCCTAAACCAGAAAATAATAAATACAGAATATGCGGTCATATTCAATGAAACATATATATATCATTATATATACGTGATATAATTACATACGTGTTTGACCTCCAATTTATCTAGATTTTTGTTAGTCAAAAACCTGTGTTCCCTGTTTCTTCCTATCATATAACAGAAGTCAGTTAGGCTTAATTAATGCGATTTTATCTGAAATCTGCCTTAGACGAGAGTATATGCAAATTATGTTGACCAGACCACACAATAGAAGGTGAAGAGACGACGACGTTTCGGTCCGTCCTGGACCATTCTCAAGTCGTCGTCCCTTCACCTTCTAGTGTGTGGTCTGGTCAACATACTTTAGCCACGTTATTGTGACTCATCGCCTGCATATGTAAATTACTGAAATCGATGTTTGACAGGGGGTTTGTGAGGGGACAAATTACCTTAGATGAAAATCTTAGTTTTCATCAGCTAATTCATTGCTTCATATCTATTAAAAACGACCCGTGAAGATGAGTGTGAGGTCAGTAGGTCACCGCAGGTCACGGGGATATTCGGTAGGTGACTTGGCGGGGACCCGCTAAACCGGGTCCCCGGCGGTAATACCCAGAGGATCAGTGATGGGAAATCGATAACAGTCTCGTGTTTTCTCCAAAATGGGACAGTCCCCCCCTCCCACTCGCCCCCTTTTTTATGACACTGCCCCACTCGTTGCTTTTATGACGGTCCCCTGCTCTATCCCCTGGTTATATGACGGTCCCTTGCTCTACCCCCTGGTTATATGACGGTCCCTTGCTCTACCCCCTGGTTATATGACGGTCCCCTGCTCTACCCCCTGGTTATTTGACGGTCCCTTGCTCTACCCCCTGGTTATATGGCGGTCCCCTGGTTATATGACGGTCCCTTACTCTACCCCCCCTGGTTGTATGACGGTCCCCTACTCTACTCCCTGGTTATATGACGGTCCCTTACTCTACCCCCTGGTTATATGACGGTCCCTTACTCTAACCCCTGGTTATATGACGGTCCTCTCCTGTCTCCTTCATATATGAGTACTCCTCTTTGCTGTCCTTTTCTCATTTTAATTTTCTAATCCTTTCATTGCTCATCTTCTCGCTTCATCGTCCTCTTCTTGAAGATGAGACTATAGACCCACTCCTGCGGCGGCAACTATAACACCTTTCTTGTAGATAAACGACTCCGCGGAAAGGATTAGACCCCCTCATCTCTCCCGCAGAAGGGATTAGACCCCCCTCATCTCTCCCGCAGAAGGGATTAGACCCCCTCATCTCTCCCGCAGAAGGGATTAGACCCCCTCACCTCTCCCGCAGAGGGATTAAACCCACTCACCTCTCCCGCAGAAGGGATTAGACCCCCTCACCTCTCCCGCAGAAGGGATTAGACCCCCTCACCTCTCCCGCAGAAGGGATTAGACCCCCTCACCTCTCCCGCAGAAGGGATTAGACCCCCCTCATCTCTCCCGCAGAAGGGATTAGACCCCCTCACCTCTCCCGCAGAAGGGATTAGACCTCCCGCAGAAGGGATTAGACTCACCTCTCCCGCAGAAGGGATTAGACCCCCTCACCTCTCCCGCAGAAGGGATTAGACCCCCGTCACCTCTCCCGCAGAAGGGATTAGACCCCCTCACTACTCTCCCGCAGAAGGGATTAGACCCCCGTGTCTGTGTCTGTATGTCTCCCGCAGAAGGGATTGAGCTCTGCTCTTTCTGCCCGCCTCTCATCTATCAATCAATCAAGTGTTACTAACTAATACACAAACTCAGGAAGCAGCCCGTAACAGCTGTCTAACTCCCAGGTACCAATTTACTGCTAGGTAACAGGGGCATCTGGGGTGAAAGAAACTCTGCCCATTGTTACTCGTCGGCGCCGATGTGTGTGTGTGTGTGTACTCACCTAGTTGTACTCACCTAGTTGTGCTTGCGGGGGTTGAGCTCTGGCTCTTTGGTCCCGCCTCTCAACCGTCAATCAACAGATGTACAGGTTCCTGAGGTGTGTGTGTGTGTGTGTGTGTGTGTGTGTATATGTGTGTGTGTGTGTGTGTGTGCAGGTTTCAATCATACCTTTTCTTTAGTAAATAACTTTTATATAATTTAGTTATATATTTTTCATCAGATAATCGGTACATTGTTATCATGATTACAAAAAAATATCCTGCAAAATAAATACTGCGATGCTCTGAACACAAACACTGTGTCGAAAGAGTCCAATGATGATAATATTCGTTTACTTAAACTCAGCCCTTGACAAAAATACATCCGCAATTGATCTCCTTCTTGGCCTCTGAGAAGTCTTAGATTTCGAAAATCCCAATAACTTCCTAAAACTTCAGCACGTCAGAATTCAAGACCCCCCTCTCTCTCTCTCTCTCTCTCTCTCTCTCTCTCTCTCTCTCTCTCTCTCTCTCTCTCTCTCTCTCTCTCTCTCTCTCTCTCTCTCTCTCTCTCTCTCTCATCTATATTCGATCCTATCTCAAAAGACACCAATATGCAATCATCAATGAAATGATTACTCCCAATCTGCCGAGTGCCATCACTCAGGAGTGCCTTGTG